GCCCCCCAAATTCGCACAACCCCGCTTGAATTGTCTGAGAACCAGCAAGTACAAGTGGGGATCTGTTGGACATCATAAGTCCCTCAAGAGTGATGTCCGACAACCATTTTGTAGGGGATGCCAATCTGAGAAGAAAAAAAAAAAGAAGAAAAACAAAAACTGGAAAAAATGACATTTGGTATAAGCCATGGTGAAAATAAGTGCGACCTGGAATGGACATGAGACAATTAAACAGTCCCACTCTCTAACTCAAACGTTAAACCAAAGTGTGTCTATTGTATGTGAGACCAACCAAGTCCACTTCTATGACTTCGTGATTCCAGTGGCTGGTTTTGTTGGGATTGAGAGAAAATGGGCCGCTGACGAATGGAAGTTCGGACTGTACCTCAAATGGTTCAATCCGTACCCCAAAAACAACGCACAATTTGCTTGACAAGCCGTTCTTGAGCGTATTCCAGCCGTGAAAAATCATGGACAGGCCCATCGGTCGTGCCAAAGCGTAAACGAAGGAACAAGTCACACTTTTGTTTGTTGGTTGAAAGGGTGTCACCCCTCTCGAAAGGTGGAACCTTAGTGACATGGCTCGAAAAAGCTCGTTGCGAGCGTGAACTCATTCTTCCTCAAACCGTTCAGTAGGGGGCCTGCTTTTCTCAAATGGGTCTGCCTTTCTTCGAGGGTTCGGAGGGTTCTGCAAGACCAAGAGGAACCCCGACATGCCCCCCATTTTGCTAGGGGGGTCTCCGATTCCCCCCGCAAAATCAAAAAAACGGGGGGTCCCCGATTCCCCGAAACAAAAAAAACACCAGCACGGGGGGACAAAAAAAAAAGACCACACCGGGGGACATGCGCCGCTCCCCGCCACCCCTCGCGCATTGCGACGTTTCCACCCGCCTCGACGCTCTCCCGGAGCTGCTGAAGCAGCAGCAGGCCATCGGAGCCCGCGGTGCCCCAGCTGAGGCGGTCCAACCTGCGCTTCGCTCGATCGCGCTTTCCGCGCCGATCGGCGCTGGGATCGGATCGGGATGAGGGAAAGGGGGGGACTCCATTAAGACCGAGAAACACCGAGAAAAGTCACCTAGGTCTATCGAAAAGGAATGGTATGGTCTTTCATGTCGTTGGTTAGGGTGAGGGGTGAAACTGGGGATAACTCGGGTAATTGAGGAGAACTCGGCACTGGGTGAAATGATGTGAAATGGGGGGTGAACTGGGGATAACTGTGAATTCGGGATACCTCGGGTGAACCACTGGGTGAAAAGTGTTTTTTTCTTTCTCAAATAGATTTGTCGTTCTTCAAGTAACCCCTTTTCCGGTTGGTTGTAAACGAAAACAGAGATGAACCCCGCCATGTGCGGGTCCACTTTGGAGACACGCCAATTTAAAGAATGGCCTAAAGTCCACCCAACGGATGCGATCCGTTTAGACGGCCACTAAAGGCTTTGGAAAGCTACTCTGACCTGATCATGGGTTCTACAGGATATAAATTGAATCTAGACATCCTCAAAAGCAGGGCAAGCGGTTTCCAGGTAAACCCCCGGCGAAGAAACCAAAAACCGAAATTCCATAAGGGATACCCGAGGAGGAGGCACTTCGCCGCCGAACCTCTCTCAAAAATGGCCAAAGGAAGAGGCCACTTGGGGATCATCATTGCCCGAAAATTGGACCTTTTGCTTGCAACTCCTTTTCCTCTCCAACGGATCCGTGACATTTGAGCATGAGGCGAGTCAGGACATGGGCATGTAGGTCGCAATCAAAACCTGGTACTAAAATGGTCTACCCAGAACCATGTACAGGATTAAGAAGGCGGCCGCAGCTATTTATGGTTGGGATCGCCCCTTACTAACCTTCATCTACCCGGGTTTTGAGCACGTGGCACATGTTTCTTCCATCGCCGTGAGGTCCACTGAGGCCCACGCATCGAGAAATCGTCGACTCCAACTCCCCAGCGACGGGATGGGATCGGGAGATCGTGTGCTGGGGCGCCGAGCACCTTCAAGAGCGCGCACTTGGATGGGTCCACCTCGCAGCGAGTTGCATTTTCTTGGAACCCGACTTTCGGGTGATCGTTTTTTAGTGGTCACTCGCAGCAAACTCAATTTCACAACTTATCCTAAGTGATCTAATACTTTGGTTGCTCACTTTCTTACTTTTCTTCTTGCACCTCGCAGCCACTGTCTATGTAGACGCTATGCAGTTATAGATTGATTGGTCACTTGCAACCGTCGGAAACGCAATTTCACAACTTACGTGATTCACCTGTAGCAAACATCGCTTTGTGATCCAAAGGAGCAACAAAGGCTTATCCAAGAAAATCTTTGGCAGAGTCCCTTCGGAGTTCGAGCTTTTATGGCATGCAGAAACAAATAGCTCCCAAATGGAAAAACAAAGCTCAAACTAACCAACCCTGCAGGTTTCGTCGTTGCACAGACATCCTTCCTCTAGGCACGGGAGTCGACCCATGATCGGAGCGCCTTGATAATTAAAGTGAGGTTATGGGACACTGCAAAGAAAAGTTAAGTAATGATTTCAGGAGAATGACCTGTTTAAATTATCAAAACTACCACCGCAATTCATTCCAACAAAAACATGATCGCAGTGTCGTTACATGCCCCTAGCCCTTCCTACTGTGGATGGACAAACACCTGCTCCAGTTGGGATGGATAAGTGTGGTAAACCACCTGCCAACTGGTGCCGGTACAGATTTGGGCCATCCACAATAGTGCTTGGGTTTGTTGAGGGTGCTCTTGCCGGGCTCTATGTTGTTTTCTGGGCAAGCCCATGTTGGCCATCAGTAACACAACTCCTTCCTGAAGGTTTCGGCAGTTGTCGCTGATTTACAGTGCTCGGATTGACATGCCGATCAGCACCAATGTCTTTTTCTCGAACAATGGCAGCCTTGGAAAAGGGAATACTCTGGACATTGACCAAAAAAACACGAAGACACACCAGACAGGAATCTGTTTAACCGGATCCATGTGAACCTGTTTTTGTTCCGGGTACCCATTTTTGGTTGGTTTAAAGGGAAGCCCGAAGCCAAGCTTCCATTTTGAAGGTCCGAAGCCCTTGTTCGGCAACTCGATTGGCCGGACCGCCCGCTTCCGTGGGCTGTCACCCCTTCGCATGGTTCACCTGACCACGCGCCCTGACAAAGGTCTTTCTAAGAATCAATCAAAGCGAGAAGGGGTAAAGCAAATGCCATGGGCCGGAGCTCGAGAAGTGCTACGTGATAAGTACCCCGCGCATCAAGGACCATTTGGCTGTGGGTCAAAAGGCACCCAAAATGGATCCCTGGTAAATGGAAACATGGACCAAGTCCTGCGGTTTTGTGGTGGTTTAATTTGGACCCACACCCATTCAGCCATGTGACATTTCACACCGAGTCTTACGAAAGACCTCCGGACCTCAAAATCTGACCCTCGGGCCCCGCGCATCGCAGTCCTGCTGTGCCTGGACGCAGTCCCCCCGAACCCCCCGAACGAAGACCCAATCGCCTTGCGAGAGGTGCGGGGAAGTGAGACATGGCGAATTGGCCCGGAGATCAACCAGCCAACTTGTTGAATGCCATTTCTGGGTTCCTTTGTTTGAACCTATGGGTTCCTATGGGGATAAAATCCCTTCGTTTGGGAATCCCTGGGTTCATTCCAGTCATCGCACCAGAAGTGGGAGTTTCTGGACATAGGAAGCCGACCAAAAAACCGGGAGGGGTCTTGAATCATTGAGACGCCAACCAGAACAGTGTCAGAAGCCAGCCTGCTCGAAACTCCCATATGCGGCTACCACCAAGGACGCGGTTTTCAGACTGAGTCTGCTTCTGGAAATTCAGGTTTTGCAGTTGAAGCAGGGGTTCATGACCAAGGGATTCCTGGATCTGGCTTCGGAGAAAAACGAAACAAAAGCAGCCAAACAAGGGCACCATCTCAACACACAACACTGATGGAAAAAGACCACTTCCAGAAATCATAGGGCTGGTTTCATCAACATCCCAACTGGTGCAAAGAAGAGTTTTGTCCATCCACCTCGCAAAACGATTCGTGACCATCCAATGCTCTCCAAACCGGTCCTCAGCACCTGCACATGCGGGCAAATTACTATAGGTATGAGCGGAGAAAACTTCTAGGGCAAATTCCTATCTAGGCAAATTACTAGCTAGGGTCCTTTGCCTTTCCCTGAAACTCGAAGAACCCCCAACCCCAAAAAACCCTCGGGCTTTGACCCCCGAATCGGTGAGCCCCAAGTTACATGATGGACCCAACCCGAAAAGGCCAGCCCTGCGGAAATTCGAGAGGGGAAAGCTACCCTTTAAAAATGGTTGGTCATTACCCAAAATACTGGATCATGAACCCACTTTTGAAGGGTCAAAAGGAGACTCCAGGTATCTACCACGTCCTTACACTAGCTCCTAGCTCCTTCTTCACAGGCTCCCTTCCAACCACCAGCTAAGCTATGCACCCCTTCGGCGTAGTTTCTTAAAGGAACACCTGAAGATAAACCGACCAACCCACCGTTTTTGTGTTGACGTCTGTTTACATCTTCAATTTGTATATGCACATGCGTATATACATATGTTATGTGTGTGTGAATGGGTGTACTACGAGGCTACCCTTTTCAACTTGGCCTTGCAAACCAAAGGGAAAGCTGAACTCCGTCTTCGGGGTCGCCCTATCTTGACATTTCATGGGGAGCTCTGAACCCCTTTTTTCAACAAGTCCTGCTGCATGTTGCTGCATTTGGGGCTGGTTTTTCGTGACTGGTTGAAGGAACCGAAGGAACACCAAAGCTGATTTTGAGGTCTCCTGGCGGTCTCCTCTTCTTGGCATGCACCCAGTTGTTTCGATTGCAATACGACCCCTTTTAAAGTCCTCGCGAGAGCTTCGCGAGCACACATGCGTGTTCTCGAAACATGGGACTCGCCCAGTGGCTCGGCAGAGTGCAAAGCAAAGCACCCCCAAACAGGTGTGAACACAAATTGGACACCTTTTGTGGCAGTTAACACCAACGAAGAGTGAACGAGGTCCCCCCAAATGAGGTAAACCCCCGAAACCAAGCCACACCACCAGGCGAGCTTGACCTCGCACGCGGCCTTTAAAACCTGCGCGCGTGCGCGGTTTTCGCAAAAACCGCTCAGCAGAGCTCCGCGCGTTCCTCGGCGGCGTTGAGGGTGAGCTCCCGGCCGTCGGGGGTCTTGAAGTCGTCCTTGCAGTTCACCAGGAACTTGAAGTCCTCCTCCAAGGCCTCGCATTCGAACCAAGCGGAATCCAGCTATGTCCCATTGTTCGAAACTCCAGACCCCAAAAGAGATATAGACCCAGCGTATGAAGGGAAAGGCTCTCCAACCATTTCTATCAGGTACATACTGGTTGGGGATACGAGATGAGAGAGATAGATTGCTTCGTTTGGAGATCACTCTCTCCAACCTCCATCACTGTCTCATCTCCCGTAATTAGCTGTGTTTGCATTGAACACACGTCATGGTGATTGCTGTTGGAAGCACAGGGCATGAAGCAGCAGGAGCGCAGATTGGGCGTGTGACTTCAGGACGCGACCCGTTGTCCATCCCTGTTGAAAGACATGCCAATCCATCCCCCACAGCTACTTTTGAGATAGAGCGGGATGAGACAGGCTCCATCTCTCTCCCCTCTCGCTCCATTCGCGAATCAAGGCTCTAAAAGGAAAACCGGACCAGAAACGAGGCAGTGAGCTTCCATGTTTGTTCCCTTAAAAAGTTGGTGACCCAAAACATCCTCAAATGGCTAAGGGACACACACAAACACGCATGTTGATTCAAAACAGTGTCCTTTTGGCTTCCACCAAAAACTGGGCCAGACCTAGACCCCTGCAACAGTCTCACCTTTTTGCTGGTTGCAAGAGAGAATGTGATGAAAACCCCACAAGGGTCGCCTAAAACAAACGACACGACCCACCCGCCACCCACACCCCACACCTTGCCCCATCTCCCCTCCCCCCTCAAGGTCGTATGAACCCCCCTGCCTGGCGCTCCTCCGCCTCGAGAGCCATGGTGCGGTCTGGGTGGGCCTTGAGAGACGCCTTCTTGTAGCCCCCGTACTGGCAGAGCTTCTTCATGCCTATGCGACGAATTTGTCCCTGTCGCAGCTTTGGTCAAAAAAAGAAAAGAAGAAGCAAACTTGTCCCCCAAAAGCGCGGATGTGTCGAAGATCGAGCCTACGCTACGCAAGGACCCTGCTTGAGGTGTTCGGCCCCTCACTTTGAGTGGATCGGCCAAACAAAGTCCGAACTTTCACCTTGCCACTAACATGGTCCAAATTCCCAAAAAGTGACTAAAGTCCAGGAACTCAGGGAGTTCCCCCCCCCTCCCACCCAGCCCGCGAGAATTCTCACCTTTGGGTCAAGGGATCCTCGGGGTTTCCCGAGGACAAGAGGGACCCTCGCGCGGCTCGAAGCTGGCACTCCAGGGTGCAAAGGGCCTTCCTCTTGGCTTCCTCCCACATGTTCACGGCCCCATCGTTGTCCGGCTCCTCAAGCCCGAAAGGCTGTGGGTCAAACTAGGTACCCAAAATGGCACCCTGGTAGCTGAAGGACTAAAACCTGTGGTCCATATCCAGGTGGTTTAATTCCATGTGAGTGTCGAACTCTTGAGTTGGTACACTCCCCCAGAGTCCATGGAAGCTCCCAGAGTCTTTCTAAGACTTGGGAGTTCATGAAAAAACGTGGGCTGCTGGGAGCTTCCGGCTGTTAGTCAGGGAGAGCTTCCGGCTGCTGTTAGTCGGAAACCGTGAATCAAGAGGAAACAAACGAACCCACACACACACACACGTGCGCGCAATTTGTTGGGTGTCACAAAAAGACACACACCCATATCAGAATCCATCCCGAAGTTTCCTTGCGAGGTGGAATATGCCTCAAAACATGTCTGCCTCACAAAAGGGGGCCTCTCTTGAAATGGATGTCAAAACGCAAAACCCGAGACTTCACCCTACAGCTCCAGAATCTTAGGAAAAAGCGTACATCTGTGTATGTTGTCCAAACCTATCCACCCTGTGTGGGAAATCTGGGTTGGATTCTCGAACTCCCCAAACAAGGCGCTCGCTGCCAAATTCACAGCCAATTCTGGCATTTTCGAATCACTTCGTGAGTGGATTGGGAAAAAACAACTGAAATTATCTTCCCAAAAAGTTTAAAGTCCATGAACTCAGGAAGTAAGTCGACCAACATGTGGTGTGTCTGAACACAACAGGACCCCTAACATGGACTTCGGGTTGTCCCTCTCCCTTTAAAGCAACACCAAAAAGGATACCCTCAAAGAAGACAGACCCGTGTCTCCTTCGTTTCTAGCGGGGAAGCCTTTTGTGAATTACTTTGAACAAGCAAGATGAAGCCCCCCCGCCTCTTTGACTTGTTTGATTTCTCTGTGCCGCATGCGGGGCTTGTCTCAAAAAAAATGGGGTGGGGGGGAGCACATAAAAAATGAGCGGTGGTTCTTGCCCCTACCCGACCCAAGGAAGACGTACCCATGTGACGGTCCCT